CGGGCGCAGGCCCTGGCTGCCCGGGCGGGGGGTCCCCCCGGCCGTAGGCGGCTGAGGGGGGCGCGCAGAGGTGGGGGGGTCTGGAGGCGGCTGGGAGCGGGAGGAGGCAGCGGGGAAGGGGGAGGCGCTGGGGGCCCGTGTCCTTATGGACGGGAGGAGCTCAGGGTCGCTCCCCGAGTTTTCCCTCTGGTCGTTTTTACCTGTAGGCCGGTCTGCTTGTTAGGAGATTGTGGATACCGGCACCGGGGAATTAGAATAATGATGACTTTTACTTTGTCCTAGCAGCGTTAATACCGCGTCTGGAATAACTTCATTAGTACTTGACAATGGGTGATTTAATGTGCAGCATAAATGGTAGCCCTGGCACCTCTCAGCCTGCCTGTAGGGCTGCCAGCATTCCCGGCTTCGGCTCAGGGAGATGGATGGGGCCTTGCTGAAATAAAAGGGTTGGTTGTACCAGTTTAAACTGTTACAAAGTGAGAGGAGTCCCACTTACAATCTAATACCATCAGTTCTCTCAGAAGCTTCCTGGTAATGAACTTGCTGGTGGGGGAACGCTTCCAAATTGGTATTTTTAGTAGCAGGAAGTACAAAGATACTGGCAGTTATGTTGACAAGTGTCTACTTAACCCTGAGTTGGCATACTGACTACTCCTGCATGCTTTTTCACATGCTTGCTTTTTTTTTTTTCCCCCTGAGCACAGTATTATGTCAGTGCCTGACTTTTTTTTAATCACCAGAATCAGTAAGAGCATCAGGGAAGACACAGTCAGACTTTTATACTGATGCTTTAGGCTATTGGGCAGAGTTTGTCTTCCAGGTCTGTACGTGTTGATGAGAAAATTAAGAATCTCCTCCCAGCTGCTTGTTACCATCCTCCTTCCAAAGTCTGCTGCTGACTGAGATCCATCAGCTGATCTGCTTGGAGGCTATTTAAACTCTTAAAACTAATCCGGATTGCTGGGAATAATGCAAGTTAGGGAGTGGTCCTCTGAGCAGCTGAACTGGCAGATCTTTGAAGCTAGTAACAGAGGGAAGAGTAGGGGGGTGGAAAACCACCGAGAACGGGCCAGTAGTTTTTAATAAAAGTTTGTTATTGTTGTATCTGTTCAGAGTCATAAAAAATCAGTGGAAATATTTCTCCTTGGTTTGTAATCCTGTTGCTTCCTTTATACTGAGACAAACATCCATGCAGTTGAGCAGAAAACTGACTTATCCATCTATCATTCCCTCCAAGAATTAGCTTTCAGTTGGATCCATTTTCTCATCAGTTTAGTGGTTGACTGTGCCAATTCCAGAGCTGGATCTTGAGAAGAACAAGCAGGGGTGAATGGAACCAGCCCTGTTCAGTGGGAGCCCACACTGATGTCAGGCTAAAGTGACTGTAGAATTGCACTAACAAAGTAATGGTTACTTTGGCTTTCTATGCAGGTAGAGGTTTTACAGTAATGCTGTGGAGTTCAATTACAATAAAGGCATCCTCAGCAGATGTTTGGGATGGTGATTGTAGGACTCTGACTGTATGGTTGTAATGAAAATGTTACAACTTGTGGCTTCTGGCACAAGTAAATGTTTACAAAATATGGTCTTAGATTCTTAAAATAGCATATCTAGTAATTAAAAAAAGAAAAACCCCATTCATGTCATCTAGGAACCTGTAATCTTAACCACTATTTTTACAAGAGAACTTTACAAAAATGTAATATAACTAATACCTCGCTGTGCTTCTAAAAATTTTAGGCAATGGCCCCTGGAAGCAAATTTAAGAACGCTGAACTGATACTACCATGTGAATGGAAAGAATGCTGCTTTGTGGGGAAATGCATGGAGGAATTTTGTAATCACGTTGCAGAACACTTGGAAGAGTACCTACAGCACCCCCTGGAAACAGCATGTCATTTATGTCTCATGTGTCACACAGATTATGTTGCACTTCGGAAGATTGTTCCTAGCCTAGGAAATAATACTGACTTCAGTTTACCTGCACCTTTGCTTTACTAAGGCCCAGCTCCATGAAACCCCTAATAGACAAGAGCTCATACCTGCTTTTTGCTTCCTATCTGATTGTCCTAGATTTTTGTTTGTATTGATAGTTACTACTAATATGGAAAGAGACTGGAGAGGTGATGTCATGAGAACTTCTGTGAGGACTTTTTTTCCTAAGATTAGAGCCTTAGCAGGTGCAATTGTCTAAAACAGGTTTTAGCAAATTGTTTTTTGAATGGCAGAGTTCTTCCCTTTCAGGGAACTGGCCTGCTGCTTATGAATTCTAAGTTTAAAGTAGAGCTTGTATGAATCTTTACAGAAAAATGAAAACTTTTAATTTTTGTACGGTATTTTCCTTATTTGGATACATACACTGGTGTTACTTTATGATGGGCATTGTATGTTACATCTTTTAAATAATATTAAATGTACTTAAGAAAAAAAAATCTGATTCTGCAGAAAATTACAAGCAGTCTCTGTGGATGTAACAGCAATAATATACTAGACTTTTTAATATAGCTATTTTGGCTCTTGTGTTTCCTGCTCTTTATACTTAACACTGTAATCAAATTTAATTACAGGTGTAGACATTTTAATTAAAGGTGAATTAGTTTTAATTAAAGGTGAAAAAAGTAGAATTGGACCAACATTAACAATGTCTCTGTGACCTAAGCTGAAGAGTGTCATAGTATATACCTAAGAAAATATTTATTTTTACAAAAATTTCCTATTTAATCTATGAAGCACCTTTCTACAAAAAGTTGTGTTTTAAGGTACAAAGCACTCTAGTATTGCTGCAGTTGCGGGACAGTGGAAAATCTGCCACTGAGATTTGCAAGTTTTATCTAGTGCATTATCAATAGATGGCAATTACCAGCTGCTCAGCTTAGAAGAACCTCTGCTAAGGTTACTCGCACATTGTGAAGTTATTGCAAATGTAAGTACTATCAGCATTCTCACTGTTGTGGCCCATGGTTGCAGATTTCATTCAGTGTTCTGTAAAATGTTACTTCTTCCTTGTGTTTAGAGCAGTACCGGTGCTGGTGGAGAAGTTGTGAATTTAAGGAAAAAAATCCCAGACAGCTGACAACACACGTCAATTTTCAGTTACCACACCAAACTGAAATTCATAGGCTCTCAGTTATGAGCATTGCACCGCGATCTGCCAGAGTGTTTGCATCAAAGACTTCAGAGGAGTTGTTTGCCATTGAGAGAGTTGTGATGTAAGTGAAATACATTGAGGTATTGCCATTTTATTTCCTGCTCTAACTTTACCTTAACATTCTTTGGATTTGACTCACTATTGGGAATTTTTGCTCAATCTTACCTCTGAACAATTTTTCCCACTACCTTTGTAAGTAATACCTGACAATTAATATGGTCGCATTCACAAAAACATAGATAACGTATTTGCATAACATCTGCAACCTCAAATTCAAATTTTCTTTCCCTTTGTGGTGACTAAAATGATCTTTTTGACAAAGATGCAACTTCTCTTGTGTTTTAAGAGCATATATGTAAAGCTTCAACATACCCAGTTTAATGATAAATTAATGAACTTGGTAGTTTGTAGACAGGTCCAGAGTCTTTATTGTTTTTCTGAAGAAAGGCAACAGAATATCTAATGTTTCCTCAATCAGTTGGAAAAGTTTGTTGTTTGTTGTTTTTTTTTTTTACTGGGACAGAAATCAGATGTTTGCAACAGGCTGTTCATATAAGTTTGATGTTCAAATGTGGCCAAGATTGGTTTCAACTGAAAATCATTTGTATCTTGACCACTTTTAAGTGTCCTGTATTCAATAAAATCATTATCCTTTCCGTTCTGACTGTGCTATTTTCGTATCAAGTAAACCAAGATGATTAGCAGTTGCTATCTTTTTTTGACAATATACCTTTACAATTTTTTTTCTGTTTCTTGAAGGTGTTCATTCCCAATCAAAAGTGTCTTCATATTGATATGACATTATAGGGAGGCACTTTCTTGGTCACAGTTGGCCCCGGAACCTCAGCTGTTATTTACGGTTAGTGAGCATTACCTATGCATCCACAAGTGTGATGCTTTGCAGGTGACATTTTCTTTCCATCTCTTTTTGTGTAACTGTTGAACAAGATAGTTTTTAGAGAAAGAAGTAGTGCAAGAAAATTGTCTGTTTGGTCTACATTAATTTTGTATGAGTTTTCTTGTTTCATTTGCGTTAAGTGATATAACTGAAAACAAATAAAATACTGGTGAAGAAAAACCAACTGAAATGACCTTACTGTGAAAATCAGAGAAACTGTAAAACTAAACAATTTTGCAAACCTCATATGGGTAAATCTGATGATGGTTTAATAATGTTGAACTACAAATCAAAACAAAAACTTTAATGTTTTTCAAAGGCTTTTTTTTTTTTTCATATGTCTCTCTAGACCTTTCAATGATTCATGAGTTATCAACCTTTGATCCTATTTCTCTATTATCTATGACTTTTTCATACCAAAGTTGTGATAAAGGACATAAACTATGCTTTTTGAGGTTATAAACAAACATTAGTGAGGACGAAAATATTTCCATGCAAGGGAACATCAGGCTGCTTTACATAGGTATTGTATCCCTCATGTGCATCACATTGTTGAACTAGAAACAGTGTAGTTTTTGAGTAAATATATTGCAGTGATGGTGTGAAATTATTTTTGCTTTCTGATGGTGGTTATAGTCTATGCTTTGCTTTGCTAGCTTTCTCCCTATGAGGTCTAAAGTTATTTTTCTTTTTTTTCTTAAAATTTCAGCTTACAGATTCTTTGTGCCATAGCATATATAAAAGGTGAGTGCCTCCTCATCTGTATGTTATTACTGGACAGAACGTCTAGAAATATCGATTTGGCTCTTTTAGCTCTGATTTTAGAATATCTATATTCACATAATGCTTTGATACCTCTCTTTTCATTATTTTTTCTTTACATGAAGTAAGGAACAATATAAGAATCTGAGAGTGAGGTTTATAGAGAAAGGTAATTCTATTAAGTCAATCTGTGAGAAACTTTATCTCTGTAAATAAGGGCTTTTATTTACTTAGTGGATTATGCATGGAAGTACCCCATTCTCTTCTTTTAAAAGCTGTAAGCCTAAACATCTAACACAGACCGTTATTTATGACAGCTTTTGGATTGTTTGCATAATTTGATTATAAACTATTTTTACAAACAAATCTTAACTGCCATTATGTCTCATAGCTTATAGGAATCATATTTCTTACAGTAATTATTTTTTGTTATTAATGCTTTTTAATACATACCTATCAGTCTTTACTCACATACTGCCATGACTGGTCTCTTTATTTTAAAAATGAAGAGATTCAGAAAAACGTCAAACCCCTCAGAATCTGATGACAGCTGCACCTGTCAGTAAGTGCAGTCTTTTGAAAAACATGCTTAAACAGAAGAAAAATCTTCCCATTTCGTGTTCCATTTTTTATTTATGCAAGTGGGCAGTTTTGGCTGATGGAATCCTTTAGTTCATAGCATTTTGCTAAAACTTTTTATACATGTTTTTTCAAGTTCAAACTATGTTGTGAATTTTATTAATTAAAAGAATGTTTCCCAACTTAGTAGGCAGGCTAGACTAGACCCAGGAGGTGGGGTAGGGCACACTGTGAAAGAGGAGAACTTTGAGGGCAGGGAAAACTGCTTACCTTTCCCACCCTCCTGCAAATATGTTCCCACAGTTATGAATATAATTCTCTTTGAAAATCACCCATACAGCTTCCCCCGACACTTGCGATGCCTCCTGCTGTGTCAGATTCAGTTTCCCCAAAGGTAAAGCTTCTGACTCAGGCAACGGCCCCAAAAACTTCTCTCCTATTTACATATAAAGAAATATTCAGGAAAATTCCAGCAAAGCACTTAAATAGATGGTGCCAACAAACTAAAATGGGTTTAACTCCCATATGGTTACTCTGATTAAGAAGTGAACAGGTTTTCCATCACTGTCTAGCTCAATACTTTTAGTTGATTCACTTAATATGCCTATAAGTTTTCATATACACAAGACCTTGGATCTCTCAGATCATGTTTCAAGCCCTTCAGAGGAAATAAGGGCTTGTCTCCCTGAGGGAACTATTGTGAAATACATTGGAGTATGAATTTAAAATGCAGCAGTTTGCCTGCATTAACTCCTCGTGTGAATACTCTGTTCTGCACACAGAATGCCTAGCAGCTTAGTTTAATCCACTCTACTAAGATTAGGATGATTAAAAGTAGATAATACTAAAGATTTTTTTTTTGTCATGTATATATTTTTCTTTAAAAAAAAACCCTATGCTGTTTAAATTTGAATAAACTGTACATTGTCAGCAGTGGCGATATCAGCCAAAGGAGTTTCACCTGTTTCCCATTTCCTCTCCTCCTTATTTTGATTTGGTTGAAAGACAGATTATTTCCTTGTCCCATTTTAAGGTGTAGCCTTACAAAATTGTGGCAGCACAGCAGAGAGGTTAAGGGGTTAAATTATTGGGAACTGAGAGGAATACTTAGAATTGCGACTGATGACAGTATGCAGTTGAATGACACTGTGTTACTTGAAGAAAATGCAATATGCAGTCTACTTCCACTCTGCAGATGTGGATTTTTGTGGAGTGAGGCAGAGGCTAATTAAGGTTTAGTCCCCCTTGTCACATAAGTACTGACTCGTGGAGTGCTGTGTCCATAACACCTAATTCAGTTTAATCATTGTGTAGCCTTCCCATTTCTGTTGGAATTACCTGCACTGCCCTCATAGCCTTCATGTGAGTAGAAGCAGGTAGAAGTGAAGGGAGGGGAGAAGGTAAAAATATAGCAAAGAAATAAATCAACAGAAATACATTAACAGACACATTCCTGCCCCAAAGAATGGGGAGCATTCACTCCATTAGTCTAGACAGACTTTTCAGCTACTAGATGGTAGGTGAAAATTCAGGACCTGGTTTATGTGGTGGATACTGCAGAATGTTCTACATTTTTGTAGTTGATGTAATTGTCTCTGTGTTGGGGTGAGTTAATTAAATGTTACTGCAATATTTACTGGTGTCTGTTTGATTTCTAGAAACACTTAATTCTGTGTTCCTGTCAGTTGATTTCCTGCCAAAACTGTGTCTTCTCCATGCTTCTATTTTGTTTTTAGGTTACCTTCAATAACCCAGTGTGGTTTTATCAATGTGTTGCTATTCATGCCTATGCTGCTGAGGAATAAACTGTTACAGATCAGAAGAAAGCTGTTTATTGTCACTGGAAAGGTAGTTCATATGAAAAAAAAATCTATTTCAAAAAGTATTTCACTGCAGTGTTATAAAATACACTTAGCACTACATATTGCATAGGAACTTGTGAGAGATCTGCAGATATTTTTTTCATCTATCTTAAATAGTTGCAGAAACATTTCTATTTTATAGGCACCATGATTTAAGTAGAATAGTTCCTATCATCTGTGGGGTTGAATATCCTCAACTCCCAGTCAGCTTAAGTTGAGAATTGCCAGTACTGAATAGGATTGTGTTTCCTCATAATTCTGCCTGTGGTTGATAATTCATATACCATTCAAACAGACTTTTCACTTATATTCTACCACTCACGATCTGGGTTGTCTCCCTCACAATAATCTTTCATGGTGAGCTTACACTTTGCTTTCCCTCATCTGTTCCCTTCAAATCAAGGGGAGCACACCTATTGCTGTCCTAGTTTTTCCTCAACTCTGTGGTGAGAAAGATAATTTTTAATGCATTCTCTATATTGCTAGCTACCTCTTGTGTTAAAATTATTGTCATGGCTTCAAAGCTGATATTCTGCCCTTGGCTCTATTTTAGAAGCCACATTCCATTGACAGTCTTTCATAGCAGATGCCTTGATTGTTTGAGTAAGGGCTAAACTATGGACTGCCATTTGATGTGCATGCCATTCAGCTTCAGACATACAAAGTGTATGAGCAGAACCTCTCCAGAAGAGAAGACACTCTGCAGAAGAATAGTGAGACAGTTTGTGGGACTCTGGTCCTGGAACAGATCATTCTGTGCTTGCTTTAAAGCAATTAATTTGGCCATGTCTCATAAAATGTGTCAACAAAGCCCAGGTTTGATTGGTATCGTCTTGGTGACACCCCACCCCCACCCCCACCAAGATGTGTCTTTTCAATTTATAGGTTAAAGTTACTTATGGGTTAACTATTCACTGCAATGACGACAAAATCCCATCAGGGGAGGCAAGGTGACATCAATTTGTTCCTTCTCCCTCTTAAGATTAGCCAACAGATGCACTATTTTCGGCTGGGGAACTCACTCCAGTGACCTGTTGGTGTAGAATCTATAGTCCTTAGAGGAACAAAAATCACTCATCAGTGTGATCACAGTTGTAGAAAATATAGCCCATTAGGACAGGTAAAGGGACTCCTCTGACTGTATAGCCTAAATAACAGAATGGGAAAAAGATAAATGCGGAAGAAAAGGAATATGATATGTCTTCAAATAAGTTTAAGAAATGCCCTGCTGTTAGGAACAGTTAAATCATCTCTTCTCCATGTCTGTGCTAGTAAGGATGAGGAGTAATGAGCTTCAGTTGTAACAAGAGGGCTGCAAGTTATGTTAGTAAAGCCACTTTAAGATGGTATTTTAAAATACTGTAGCAGTTTCTTGTTGAAACTGTGGAGGCTGTCTATCACTGGGGAACTGAGAAGACCTCTTCTGAGACCAAGGTGTAATTGATCCTGCCTCGGAACAAAAGGATAGGTCCTGGATTTTACGGGGTCTCTTGTTATCTGTGATCTTGACATTCAGGGTGGTGGCGTACATTTGAAAGTGACATGCAGAATCACAACATCCAAGCTCTGAAAGACAACTTTTCAT